GGAAAATGCAAGGCTCCTGGTACACCTGATGAGTAAGTAAAAGAAAAAAACTCGATCATGTGCTGTATCTTCTTCATTCAACGTGTGCTATTATCTCGTTTCAGTTGCGAATTTAGCGCCATGATTGCAACTTGCATTAAAAAGGAATGTGAAGCCCGTGGCATCACCGTGGACAGCATTCAATAATTCATTCAATGAAAACTAACCGACACTTGCTTTCAATGTAACGAATACCAAATCACTTCTGCAATTTTTCAATAAAATATCAATGAATTGTGTGAATAATAGCAATTTTGTCTTTTTTTGTTCGCATTTGTCTGTAATAAACAATAGCCGTCAACACGAACTATCACATGTGATTAAGATCAGGACATCGTTTGCATGTTCTCGATGACGATTAAATCTTTTTCTGATTAGTAAGAGACAGATTGTTCGTGAATGTACTAAATTTAGTCATTCCATAGAAGAATGGCAAACTGCACGGTTCATTGCTATTTGTTTCTGTGTTCAGCAGTTGCTGTGTTCCATTCTGCGAAAAGTGTAAATTCCCACTTCACTTCGATATACGATAAAGTTTTGCCATTAAAACTAATATAAGCCGTTAAAATTTCAGATTGAGGGCACAGAGTTCGAACTTCAGAATCAAGACTCGAACTACGAAGCGACATTTAAATATGCTATGAATACGTGCAAAATCAAGGAAAGAGTTGCAGATGATGAAATTGAGAGAATTGTGAATAAATTTCTACCTTCCACTAAAACGGAGAAGTGTTTTGTTGCATGCTGGCTTGAATCATTTCACGTGGTATGAATCCAAAAAAAAAACGGAATCAAGTGCATTTTATTATGTTTTATTGAAATTTTAGATAAACAATCGACGTTTCTTTCGTGATCAATATGTTAAATTGTCCACGTATGGCCAAGATTTCGATGGAAATAAGCAGAAAAAATTAGAACAAATTTTAACTGGATGTAAGATACCCGACTGCAAACTTGAACGGTATATTTATTTGAATTTTTGAATGAATTCATTATTTCAGCACGTATTCAGTTTTATGCTACGTTTTACTCTTAATTCATCCTAGATGCGAACTTGCCTATCAAATAATGAAGTGTGTGTATGACGGCGCAAAGAAATTGGGTTTAAATCCAAAAGATTTATAAAAAGTTTTTCTGAACACACGTTTATGTATGTGTATGTATGTATTATGTGTGGATCATTGATTGATGTACTTTTTTTTAAAAAATAAACCTTGATAAAAACCCAAGTTTTGTTCTTAAAAAAACATTTTTTTTATTGTGAACCGGCCATATATCCTGGATAATCAATGAGGAGAAATTCTGATTTATTGTTGTTGTGGTGGTCGTCGTGGCATGAATCGTAATCCGATAGCAATACATTGCTTCTTATGGAGGCTGAATGGATGGATTTTTGTAAGAGCGCCTCTAGTGAAAATATCTTAGAATGATGGAATATTTCGAACTTTAATACGCTTTTCTGCTAATTTATCCAAACTCACCTCTTAAGTGGTAAATTAAAACCAATAAATATTTACACATCGAAATATCTCGAAAACGGCTGGGAAAATCGGCAAAATGGACCGTGGTGTCACTCCCTAAAGGGAATGTGGACACCCGGCTGGTTTGATGGCCCAAAGCTCAAATCCAGTGGATTCGAGCTGATCCATGGGCTCTCAGGATTTGGTCTGATTCCCAGCTTTTCCTTTCTTGTGAGCATCTTTACAAGTCACACTCATGTTTTGTATGGAATTTCACCACAGGGCAAGTGCTGGGATCAGGCCAAATCCCAAGAACCCATGGATGAGCTCAAATCCACCGGATTTGAACTTTGGGGCATCAAACCAGCCGGGTGTCTACACTCCCTCTAGGGAGTGACACCACGGTCCATTTTACCGATTTTCCCAGCCGTTTTCGAGATATTTTCATGTGTAGTTAATGAGAAAGATATCCGCCATGACAGCATTTTGGCCCGCCATGTTGGTATTTTGGTTTATATTAACAGAACATTCTCTACTTTGAGAGTCAACGTTTCTAAACGTTAACACAAATATGATCTGTCATAATAACATTCACCACTTCTTATGTGCTTCAGAGAGCTTCTGACAGCGCCATCCATCCGAAGCGTTTGAAACATTAAAGGCTTTTGCTGATTTTTTCTGCCGCATTTTCATTTGAGCTATCCCCTTATGGCATGAATTTTCTCATTTCATCTTGTCGCTTTTGGATACCTTCTTCGGTACATTCCATAATTTTGAATGCCAGCTCGCAACTGCAAGAGAAAACAAATCACCAATCATCAATTGAGAAAGAAATTTGAAGAACGTAACATTTGAATATGATTTCTTACCGATCTGAGTCCATCAACGGTGCACATTCTTCAGAAATTTCTTTGACAATTCGAACGAGTTCATTGCTAGGTACATTGTTTCCCGGTGCCATTTGGCTCATAAAATGGCCTGATTTCTCTACAGACAATTTACCGTTGACGAGCTTGAAATGGAAAAAAAAATTTAAATAGTAGCAACATTTTCATTCAATAATTGTTGAGTATTTTCAATAAAAAATGCTTGGTTTGAAGTGATTTTCTGTTGATATTTCCATAAATAGCAAGAAATTGAATGTGAAATTTGTAATTATAGGGAAAAAATATGTTGATCCAATAAACCATGCATGAAAATAAGTTATTAAAGCAATCTTGTATTAGAATCACATCAAACAGCAATGGACCAAATGTATGTTCATTTTTTTTTGTTTAGAATAAATGAGAGTAGTGAAAGAGATATTTTTTATGAATAAAATAAATCATCCTACTGAAAAATTGGACTATTGTTTTCCTAATTGGATTTATCTAGATGACACTGTCGTGAAAAAAATTCGAATGATCTACAGCTATGACAGAAACCAATGAACAAGTAAAAGGCGTCGCCAGATTTCCATAAATAATTTTACATTTCGGCATGAACATTGGCTAATCTGAAACCAATAAAGCAATCATCAATTATTTTTCTGTCAAGATCTATTTTTCAATCGATTGCCGCACGTCAATATTTCCTAATCAAGCTCAAACTTTGCTATCCCAAAAAGAAATTGACACCAGTTTAGTGCTGCTTTGCCGCTCTCACACTAAAGCATACTGTGTGTAGTGTGGTGTGAGAGCAGCAAACCAGCGCTAAACTGGTGTCAATTTCTTTTTGGTATATAATGAGCTTGACATTGTTCGAATGTTCCAAAAGTGAATTGGTTGTCAATTAGAACAGTCTCTAAAAACTATCGAAGGCACTTGTGGAATATACTTGTGAATCCGCTGAAAATGAATTCAATTAAATTGTTGGGGTTGATCTTTGCCGTTTTTGTGGTCGCATTGGTCACAGTACGTAATTTCCCCTCTTATTTAATCGATTTAATTATTAACATAATCTACACATTGTCTAAATGAATCATTTAGGGCAGAACCAACCAAGGAGCAGAAGAAAATTTGCATGGCGATTAATGAGGATTGCAGGTAAATTAAAATTTAGGGGAAATTGGGGAGTTCCGGGCCACAGTTTATTTTTCGTTCATAACTTTGTGATAAATATAATTTTCTTCAAAATTAGAATATCTCAGTTGTAGTACGCCTCAAATCCTACCATTTGAGTATTTTCACTTATAAAAATTCAACTTTGCTAAAAAAAATTTGGTGGTTGGCAGAAAAAGGACGTTTTTGACATTTTCAAAAATCATGGGGAATTGCGGGCCACTTCATGGATTGACATAAAACTGACAATATATTGGTGAAAAATGTTTATTGATCGTTCAAAATGACAAAAGAAATTATTTTAAATGAAATGAAATTGAAAATTCGTAAAATCAAGATCAAAATTAGTCCGATAATTCGCAGGTAGCGCATGTAAAAGAGCTGGTCGTCATATTGGCGCATTTCAAGTGAACTAACTTGGTCGCATGAATCGCAATGAATGGAATTATTTCGATTGAGCTTCTTTGGCATGTTTTCCTTGCAAATGATGCAGATGTAAACATCTTCTTCTTCTTCAGTAGAAGATTGAGTGCGTTGTTTCTTCTTTGGCGTGGTTGATACTGCACGGGCTTTGCGCTTCTTTTTTGCTTGTGGTTTTGTTTTTGCATCCTTTCGTTTTTGTTATTTTTCCAATTTCTGGCTCTTTCTTCGCATAATAACGTGGCATCGGTGTCATGATGACTACGAAATTGTCGAAAAACAAAAATATATGTTTGAAAAGGCCACTTAACTGATATTTTGTCGAAATTTGGCTTGAAAAACATTGAATGTGCAATAAACATGCGTTTTGAACTCATTTAGATGAGTGTCATTAGTGTCAAAAATGTAGTGGCCCGTAATTTCCCAGAAAAAATGGCCCGGAATTCCCCAAATGCTCATAATTACAAGATGATTGCGCATGACTCACTCAATGTATCTTTATGCAAAATTCCTTTTGTGAGGTGAAAGAATAATGACACACCATAAAAAAAAACATACTTACCGAATTTATTATAGTCGTTTAAAATATGCAAACACGATGATTAGAAGAAAATATTTTAGAATTTTTGTAAATGCACTTATTGCAGAGAGCTCACAGCACGTGTTCACGCGTCGAGTGGTTATAGGAAACTAATATTGGGCTAAGACAAGACAAATGAAGCAATTTTGACTTGTCTAACTATTCAAGTGACAGAGAAAAGTCGGGTGGCCCGCAATTCCCCATGGCCCGCAATTCCCCATGGCCCGCAATTCCCCATGGCCCGGAATTCCCCAATTTCCCCTACCTAATAAGAGTTTTGATTGTGTGAGCGAATAAATGAATGAACATTTCAATAATCTTGTAAAAAATGAACTCTTCCAGAAAATCCAATGGTGCAACCGAGGAGGACGGAAATAATTTGTGCTCTGGAAAGATGCCAGAAACTAAAACTGGGAAATGCACAGCCTCTTGCGTTATGAAACAATTCAAACTGGTAATTCTGTCTTAAGTTTAAATAAAAAAGACTAAAAACTAATTTCATTCTACATTTCGCAATAGGCTAAAAAAAATGGTGCCAATCTTGAAGCTGACTGTGATGTCGTCGCAGAATTAGTTGAAGCAAACGAAGCCAATACAACAACAATCGCTGCAATTAAGGATATTTGAGGAAAATGCAAGGCTCCTGGTACACCTGATGAGTAAGTAAAAGAAAA